ATTCACTTAACGATGGCATGATTCGCTTAATGGTGGCTGTGATTCGCTTCACAACCACCGCAAAAAAGATTGTAAAATCGGGCACGACTCAGTTAACAACTGTCCCATTTAACAGTTGTAGTTGTTAATTGAGGACTCCCTGTAACTCACTGTTGTTTGTTTATTTTAGTATGTATGGATTGAATATGAAATGTTTTAGTCCCAGGTATATTCTAAGTTTGTTATTATTAATAGTAATAATTTAGGTTCTTTGTATTAAGTTTCATTGCTTTTAATCCTCTATGCACTGTCCAGAGTCACTGTTGTGAGATGGGTGGCTATATAAATTGATAAGATATTGATACTAGGGTTGACTGCCAAATGCTTTCTGGAAATAGCCTAATCATAATGATCTAACTTCTGTTCTTCTAGGAAATATTCCTGCTCATATTGCTGGTCTCACAAAGTTTGGCGATAATATCGAAGATGAATGGTTTATCATTTACCTCATAAAAGAAATTACAAAGGAGTTTCCAGAATTATTAGCTAGGTATTTTTATTTGCTGCTTAAATACATGACAATTTTAGCTGTTCCTTGTGAACATAATTTAAGGTATTTGTCTTTTCACTTCAGACACTTTACTGGAATAAAACTGGGGGGAAAGGGATTTTTCTGTGAATTAAGACTGCATTACAAGATGGTAGCCATATGCATTGAATTAAATTAGGATACAAGAATTCTGTATTTATGTGAATACTTTTTATTTGAATAGAGTGGATGATAATGATGGTGAATTCCTTCTGATAGAAGCAGCTGATTACCTTCCAAAGTGGCTGAATCCTGAAAATAGCATCCATCGGGTAAGAGAGGTTTAAGAATGTCAAATATCTTGTGTCACCTTGTGTGAGATAGGTGGCTATATAAATATGATTGATAAATAAATAAATAAATAAATATCTAAAAAGCTAATTTTAAGAATATATACTGTAATCTTATTTTGAATTTCTTTAAATCATGTTATTATATTTTTCTGTGAGATCTTGGAAGCCTTTGCCCTTTCAGTGATATAGACTTAATGAGGATAATTTCTGAGAGACTGTGGAAAACTTTCAGACTTAATAAATTAATATATATTTTTGTCAGGTATTCTTTCATAGTGGAGAATTATGCATAATTCCATTACCGAAGACTCCTGAAGAGAAGGAATTACTGCCTGCTATAAATCCTACAATTCCCCAGGTGCTAAAATTGTTTTCTACCCATTCTGGGCATTTTGTGGCTTCAAAATCTATTAAAGCAGCAGTATCTAAACGAATCAATGGGTAAGTGACTGAATCTGAAAAGATTTTTTGTTGTTGTTCCAACTGTATATACTTTACATGCTGATTCATACACGTTTGTTTATGATTGTTATTTCTGTTCTGCTGTTCATGATATAAATCCAGCTTGGAAGTAACAACATGCAGCATTTTACTGAAATAAAAGTAAATAAAATATGGCAAATTACCCAATTCTTCCCCCAAACCATTGGTGATAGTGGCCTCCTATGAATAGAAGATAATTTAGGCCTCCCTTGCTTGCTTTTCTAACACCTTCCTACAGCGCAGTTCACAGTAGATGCATTATAGTATAATTTCTATGATACAGACAGGAGGGGGTTCTGTTGACCTCTCACTGTAAGTTGCTATTGCCAGATTTCTAGATAAATAATGTTATTGGGGAGATGGAGGTAGTATAACTATTGATATGCAGGCTCTCACTTATACTTGATTTAAAAAAGAAAAGAAAAGATCAGTTGAAAATCTGAGAGGTTAGATAAAATATGAAAATAGCACATCCATGCTAATAGATTTCAGCAGTGGATAGTGTTCTGTTTCCCTGAAGAGAAAGGAAAGTAGAACACAGACAGGTGTCTCTGTTAGGTAGCAACGTGCATCTGAGGTGTTGAGCCACTTGTGATACAAACAAGAAAATTTTATTTTTCTTTGGTTTGGGCAAACTGAGAAGACAACCATCATAAGCAGCCTGAGTTTTCTAGGAAGTGTTCCCTCGTATATGTACGTATGTGTGCATGTTAGCTACCTTAAATTATATAGGGAGTGCACAGATATTTATATTTTAAAAAGGTGGGAGTGACCTAATATGAACAAAAAGATGCCTCTATCAGAATTATGTTTCTTATATTTTGCACGTTGTTACAATTTTGTGCCATAGGTATCCTGAGAAGATCCAGACCTTTCTTCATCGAGCTCACTGTTATCTTCCAGCAGGCATTGCGATAGTTCTGAAGCAGCGTCCTGCATTAGTGTCAGCAGCAGTCCAAGCTTTTTACCTTCGAGATCCCATTGACTTAAAAGCATGCCGCGTTTTCCAAACCTTCCCCCCTGAGACACGTGTAATGACATCAGTAAGTGAGAATTAAACTTCTGAGTTAGTCTTGACAATTAATTCACACCATCATAAGTAATTTACAAATGATTTATTTTGGGTTTTAATTCCATCTTTTTTGAATACGAGTCTAGCCAAACTTGCCTGATCTCCAAAAGCTAGGTGGGGTTGGATTTGGTTAGTTCTTGGATGGAAAATCACCAGGAAATCTCAAACCTGGAAGCTAGAGTAAAAAAATCAGAAAAAAATCCCCGAAGAAGGTATAGGT